GTACAACAGCACGAGCAGATCTTGCTCTGTTGCTGTATCATATGCAGAGTCCAACCAACGCTGACGCACAGCACAATAGTAGAGTTCTTCTACATTTAGACTAGTCTATACCTCACAACACAACTCCGCTCTCGTAGTCTACATCTATCTAGACTTTATACCTCACAACACAACTCCGCTCTCGTGCATTCTCAAATCACCAACTGCTGCGGCTGCAGACTATACCAGCTCGGCCACTCGAATATGACCCACACAACAGCAGCAGCTTCAATCGCACGCAAACATACCTCACACCCACAGCTACACATACTGGAATACATCACACAGCTGCCGTTGGTTGTTTCCTGTCCCTCTGATATTACGGCGAGATTTTGCTGAAATTGAGCGATTTGGTGCGGCGAGATCCAAGTGTTATTTTTTTCTTGCCCCAAAATTGGGGCATGCCCCAAAATGCCCCAATGCCCCAAAATTACTCTTGAAAATCGGATGCACAGCAGTGGCTCATTTTGCCCCTCCCCTGGCCTACTGCTGTATCTCCTCTGTGACACTGCCTTCGAGCACCACGCGCTCGAGACCGCCCGCCGTAAACGTGTCTGACGACGTTTCCCAAGCTGATCAACTGGCAAATTGGTGATGTGATCATAGCCTCCAAGAAGCGGAGCTCAGGCACGAGATGATATGGCTCACGGCGGAGCAGTCTCGTTTGCCTCGATTGCGATGATCGCAGCTTGGGGCCGCCGGCGCACCCGGGTGCAAGGGCTGCGGCAGTAGGTGAGAACTCAGGCAACCTAGGGGAAGCCTGCTACATACAAATATAAACTCGCCGCAGGCAGTCACGTGCACAGATAAATCACAACAGCGTAGATGTTCCGCACGTATTTTCGTAATTTGAACTTGCTGCAGTACACTGGGCAATTCAGAAGAAAAAACAGGTAGTTTTCTCTGACGTTATGATTCCGTTGTTAATCTATGACTCTTTTCTATCATAAGAGATGGACTCGTTGTGTCATAATAAGAAAAAAAAAAATCAAGGGAGAGGACCCACGTGACTCGAAACTCGATACAGCAGTCCCATTGAGATGCAGTAGCGGCTACGGTTTTTCAGAGGGTCGTCACAGGCCATTATCCTTCTCGTAATTGCCGGATGTGTATTGTGCCGTGTTGGCTTCAACCATGAACATGGTTTACGGCAGTAGTTGCATTTCGAAAGGCTCAGGAAGAAGATGCTCACGTTTCAAGCAGCTCCCAAGAAGAGTTTGTGGAGAGCACATCATTCATGCACGTCAGCTAAGCGTTAGCACCACTAACAGTCTGTTTCGACGAGCAATGTACCCACCGCAAGTACCGTTTACGGTAGGTGACACAAAACACCACACCTGGACCGATTTTCAAAACTCGATTGCTCCGCAGCATGTAGGAAGAGCTCTGATGCTGAAAATCGCGGCGTTGGAACCGTAGCTCGCTACATTACCCATCACTGTTAACGCGTAGACTGCTGCACACCGTCTACCTTGATGTGTGATGCTTGCCTGAGAAGCCAATGGGATCAATCCTGGGAAATCGGGAGACCTCGGGAAAGTCTTATGGCAACTGTTGAGAGAGGTTCCAGAGGTTCCATGTTGAGAGAGTCTCCTGTCCATCCCAGATACTGGAATGTCCAGGCGCGCAGTTTTTTATTGGGGTTGAGTAGATCTAATTGCAGTGTTTGCAAGCCTGTTGCTTGGCAAGCCTGTTGCTTGGCCCTGGACGTTCTTTTTTTCCTTCATAGTCTAATTCTATTTCTCAACCGCACGCAGAATAATTGATCCCGCTGTTCCTCCAGCGGGCATATCCAGACACGACGGTGCAGGCTTGCCAAGAAATCGACGCGACGACTGAATGTTAGCCAAACTGCTGTACAATTCCGTTGCCTCTTGGAATCTGCGTCAACAGTTGCATCCACTATCCGGGGAGCATGTCCCTCACGGCGACTGCGCAAGACGGCAGTTGAAAGGGGAAGGAGACATTCGCTTGCTTCCTTGCACCCGACGCTGATCGGTCACGAGGCCCGCTACTACGTGTGCTCGACCAGAAGGGTGGAGGCAAGCCCTGGACAGAAAGCCCAGTGTCGTCTACCTCCACGGTAATGGCAGCAGGTGGGTCGGCAAAGAGCAGCCGGAGGGCAATGGCGCAACAGCTGAGCCGTACATCCGTGACTTGAACGGAGACGGGACGGGTTAACACGTGTCATGAAGTATAGGTACTACAAGAGAGCGGGATCGCTCGTGCACGTGCAGGTCTTCCACGAGGTGGACCGGATCGCGCGGGAGACGAACACTGCCTAGCACTTGAACAACATCCCGGGGAGCCCGTTGTAGAAGTGAGTCGATTTTGCATGCGTGCTACAATTTCCAGGACCACCCCGTTCATTTTTTCATGTCTCTATATAGAAGTAACTGCTGTTGTCGATCTGAATGTGCTGGGTTGTTTTCCTCCTTTTGATTTTTACAACTGTTGCTGTGCTCTTGCGCGTCGCACTGAAGGTAGTTTTTTTTTGCTCATGTTGTTGTGCCCTACTGCTATGCCACTACCGCAATATCCTTTGAGTCAGCCCTGACGATTTCGTTTGTTATACAGATTTTCGCAAACGACCTTTGAGTTAGTCGCGGGATGATATTCATTTTGTTTTTTTCAACTTTTTGGTGCGCCCCACCGGGCGTTCGCACACAAACGACCGGGCCGCATTCCTCGTGGCAGCATTCTCGTCTGCCAGTTGCCCCAATCACCCTTCTTGTGCGTTTGGTATGCTTCTCATAGATGCTGTTGAGTCCCGACATCGTTTGGGTCAACGCGTCAGCGCTGTGTTGTGTTGTACAGCAGGTGCATCAGGTGCATCAGAGCAGAAAAGAGACAACGCCCCCNCATAGGTAAGTGTTGTGATCTTCGCGTGAACAAGGTTATAACTCGGTCATTCTCAGGAGTGTCTCTGACGTTGGGCGTGATGCCCCCGCCACATGTGTGACTGGCTAGGGTGGGTATTAGGGGGCCACTCGTAAACGCAACATGTTGGGGTAGGTATTACGGGCCGACGATTCGACGATCAATGTTTGGTGTGTACGGCAGCTGGAACCTGGGGGCATAAGCTGAGCAGGGAAGGGCTGGAGAGAAGCATGATAACAACCGATAGATATCTTGTCAGGTTGTTTGTTCAGAAAATCAGACTTTTTCTCGCGTTCAGGAACTGAGAACTGAGCGTCTACGGGAAACCCGGAAAAGGCTTGCCTCCGATCTTCGACCAATCAGAGGTCGACTTCAATTTTTTTGTTGGTCGTGCAATCGTTGTAACACCCTGGGTCGAAAGGCCCGACACAAGAAAATGCCCATCACAACCAGCCACGTTCGTCAGGATCGATCGGCCACCAGTGGTCGTCTGCTGTGGAAACAACACTCTGTCCTCTCGAGGACGCGTGGTCCAACCTGTAAGGCGTGCGAATCATGAGTGCCCGCCACCACCACGACTTCGCGCTGCCCCCCCATTGCAGGACCCCACGTCTCAGTTCTCGCAGCTGCTGGCGTCGGAGCGGCGACAGTCTTCGCGTCCCGCTGACGAAGCGGAGACTGATGCCACCGCCGCCGCTGTCCACGACGAGGAGCACGACCACCGGGAGTTGGACAAGATTGTCGGCGTGGTTGGCGGCGGTGAGGGTTCGGCCGCAGCGGCAGCGGCGACGGCAACGGCGACGGCGGCGGCGGCGGCGGAGGCACCCCCTCCGTCCCAGTAACAAGGGATATCGCTCGCTTGGGGCAAGAAGAGTTGTTGTTTGTATGGGGCGGAAGCAAGACGGTTGTGCTCGCCACCGGGGAGACAATCAGTATCGCTCGCGGAGGAAGAGGTTTTGTGCAGTTCGAGTCCACGAAAATCATCCTATCCTCTTCCCACGGCGTCCTCTACGCGGTTGCGCGATACCTGATTCTGTTTCTTGTGTTGGAACCGTCGCCTGCTGCTGGCAGTACTTGCGGTCAGGTTGGGGCAGAGGAAAAGCCGCTATGACACAACCGCTCTCTCTTTGGGTACGTACCGCGTACGATAGAATATGTGTGATACGCGCGCGGGTGTCCAACGGTGAACTGCGTTCTTTTCCTCTCCCAGGGGAGTACGCCAAGAAACATATCTCTCTCTGTGTCGCCGCCGTACGTACCATTCGGCCTCGAGAGCGGATGTCGTATTTCCTCCGCTAGAGTTTCGTGCTGTGCGACGTATGTTTGCGCGACAGGGAGGGGGCGGGGCAGCTTGTTCGTGTTTGTTGTTGTCCTTGTGGGTTGACTTGTAGTTTGTGTCCACCTGCCTGTTCCGAAACGCTTCGAAGCTATCTAGGTGTATGTTGTTCGTTTTTTGGCATCCCTCGTTTTTTTCTGCCTTGAGGTTCTTGTCTTCCCCCTCTTCCCATTCCCATTCCCATCGGCGTCGCCTCGTTGCAAGCACCTGCCAGTATCCTCCACTCATCCCCAATATGGGTGTCAAGTCACCACGAGAGGTGACTGAGAGAGAGCTCGCCTCCTCCATCACGAGAAGAAAACGCGCGGATGAAATCGTGCCGTTTCGTGTTTTCATCGAACGGACCTACAGGGAACAGTCCGTTCGTGTGCCGCTTGGGCCAACAGCGAGCTCCTCCTTCGGTTGTGATACGCATGTGTGGTTGATCCGATGCATGCGGCGATAGTAGTATTCGTGTAGAAGTGTCGGAAGCAAACGTGGATGTACCCCCCTTGATGTTTCGGTTGGTCTACGTCGGGCCTAGCTGACTTTGCGGGCCTCGACAAAAGTATGTGGCACTATGTAGATGTTTCAACAGCGATTTATTTGATTTCTCATGTGCTCTGTTCATACGGGGTCTACGATGTGTGAAAACCATTGCTGGGGGGGCGGGGGGGGGGGCTATATCCGATTGTGCGGTGGTTTGCAGCGGTACGCGGCCCAGCAAACGATTCGGCGCACTTAACAGCAGAGAGTTAAGGCTTGTGTGAATTGCAGCATGGCGATGATGATGATGATGCTGATGATGATGATAGACGGAAGGTTAAGACGCTTGCAATCAATTTACGGCGAACGGACGCGTCGTTGGTGTTGGACACCCTGCAAGAAAATATTAACGAAGTGTAAATTTTTTTGTAATGGCACAGAAACTTGAGTATGGCTAATGGTTTGGCGTGATGGTAACGGGAGATGTATAAGAGCGCGACAGCTCGCATGTGTCGGGTTCGGATTAATGCATGCATGTGCGGGGGTGGGGCTCTGGTTGACTGGGAACGCTCGCTTGGCGTTGGTGGGATGGCGTGGACCCGAACACTAAATTCAATACCCCCCGCGAACAAGATTCGTGTTTGCCACGGAGCTGTGAATGCGGAGCTGCAGATGCGAACAAGGAAAGTCGAGAGAGGTCGACCGGCCTCACCGCGCCCAGGACCCACCCCAACCCCGGGCGACTGGAGACCATGTAGGGTGCATGCTCGCCGGTATTTACCTATATCCGGGAGCACACAGTTTTGTCCCGAACACAGCAGCAGAACTACCGCTGTTGCCCGAGCAGTTAGTTGAGCACCAGTGAGGGAAGAGCGCAGCACTCCACGTGTTGAAATCAGACATCACAGCGCTGACGAGCATGTGTGTGCGACTTGATGCGACTACTGTACCGGAAGCCAGCCGCCAAAGCGGTGTCAAGTTTTGGTGAAATAATCGTTAAACCTTGCGATTTTTTGGTCGTCGGTTGTGGTTTCGATTCTCTCCAGAGTTGAACAATAATGAAGTTTGCGCCGGAAGCGCGTAGTTGTGGGTACACACACAGCTTTGAGAGGCGGGGCTGATTGCTGAGCCATTCTCGCGTTAGGATTTGGAGGCCAACGCAGCAGGAAGAGCAAAGATGGAAAACAATTGAAAGAATACTCCTGTGTGATCCCGGCTGGTGGGCCTCAAAGACAATAACACCAAAGTGCGAAAAAAAGTCGCTGTCCAGCCAAGCGTAATAAATGGGATGACGCCCACGGACACGCCGCCCCACATCCGTGACCCCACCTCGCGGGACCAACCCCAGGTCACGTGGCCTTCAGAAAGAAGTGTTTCGTATTTTTTGCGGCACTGAGACTGACGTATTTCGTCAATAGGCAGGTGGTGAGCGCGGTCGATGCTTGTATGCATAGTCTAGACTAACAAGGACACAAACACACACACCGGCGCCAAAATCACCTGCTGAATGTAGACGGTCGAGAATCTCATCGTATTCGAACGTTCTTCTAGGGATCCTTGGACAGCCACGTTTAGCGCGTATCGACGGGTTGAACGCGTCTTTTTCATTTCGCTGTCGAGAATCGTCTGGAGGCCATCCAAACGGAGAAGTCCTCGACTGTTTTTTGACGCCACAAACAGCGCGGTCGGAACGCGCAACACCAGACGAGATTCGCAGGCTCGAACTAGACGTACGGACCCTCAATCAAACCGTGATCAATTGTGCGCAACCACGGGCGATTTATCCCTGAAACATGTCACGAACGTCCTACATAGAAGGAGAGAAAGTGCGATTTGAAGAATATGATTCAAAGTAAGCAGCGGATAGGTCGCCGAAAACACACAAAGGTCGGTGAGTTAAGATACATGCATGATGTGACTGGGAGACCCGTTTCGGGGGCTGTACGGAACGCAGCGAAAAATCGGCCTTGAATATCACCAAAAATATATATTTGCTCCCCCGCCTCCCCCGATGTTTCTTGAGACATACCTGGTGCTAAGTGCACGAGTTCACCGGACACCCCCCCCCCTCTCGCCGCCCCCAATCTAGACTTCAGTGGGTTGGCGCTGTTGGCAAAGCGCTGTAAAACACGCCACCCCAAATATAGCCCCCATAGTATGCGCTACCAAAGACGCGTGACGCATGGATGCGTGGAGTGAGGATTGCTTACGAACACCTCACAGGTTGAGTGATGTAGGAGATTACCGGACACATAGTCTAGACGTGTTGAGTGATTATAGTCTAGCTGTATACTGAAACCCCAAGGGTTGAGTGAGGTTTGAGATTGCCAGACACATGGACGGGTTGAGTGGGGATAGCTGTATACTGAAACCCCACGGGTTGAGTGATGTTGGAGCGCCGGACACATGGGCGCGTTGAATGAGGATAGACACATACTGAACCTCACAGGTGATTTGTGANCCACCCCCCCTTCTAGACTTACGTGGGTTGGCGCTGTTGGCAAAGCGCTGTAAACCACGCCACCCCAAATATAGCCCCCATGCATAGTATGCGCTACCAAAGACGCGTGACGCATGGATGCGTGGAGTTAGGATAGCTTACGGAAACCTCACTGGTTGAGTGATTATAGCTGTATACTGAAACCCCAAGGGTTGAGTGAGGTTTGAGATTGCCAGACACATGGACGGGTTGAGTGGGGATAGCTGTATACTGAAACCCCAAGGGTTGAGTGAGGTTTGAGATTGCCAGACACATGGACGGGTTGAGTGGGGATAGCTGTATACTGAAACCCCAAGGGTTGAGTGAGGTTTGAGATTGCCAGACACATGGACGGGTTGAGTGGGGATAGCTGTATACTGAAACCCCAAGGGTTGAGTGAGGTTTGAGATTGCCAGACACATGGACGGGTTGAGTGGGGATAGCTGTATACTGAAACCCCACGGGTTGAGTGATGTTGGAGCGCCGGACACATGGGCGCGTTGAATGAGGATAGACACATACTGAACCTCACAGGTGATTTGTGATGGAGATTGCCGGACACATAGACGTGTTGAGTGAAGATAGCTGCATGCTGAAACCTCACAGATGCATTGGTTTTTGAGTTTGCCAGACACATAGACGCGTTGAGTGAGGATAGTTGCGTACTGAAACCTCACAGATGGATTGGTTTTTGAGTCTGCCAGACACATAGACGCGCTGAGTGGGGAGAGCTACATACTGAAACCTCACGAGTTGAGTGATGTTGGATAGTGCCGGACCCATGGACGCTTTGAGTGAGGAAAGACGCATTCTGAAACCTCACAGGTGATTTGCATTGGAGATTGCCGGACACATAGACGCGTTGAGTGAGGATAGTTGCGTACTGAAACCTCACAGATGGATTGGTTTTTGAGTCTGCCAGACACATAGACGCGCTGAGTGGGGAGAGCTACATACTGAAACCTCACGAGTTGAGTGATGTTGGATAGTGCCGGACCCATGGACGCTTTGAGTGAGGAAAGACGCATTCTGAAACCTCACAGGTGATTTGCATTGGAGATTGCCGGACACATAGACGTGTTGAGTGAGGATAGCTGCATACTGAAACCTCACAGATGGATTGGTTTTTGAGTTTGCCAGACACATAGACGCGCTGCGTGGGGATAGCTACATACTGAAACCCCACGAGTTGAGTGATGTTGGATAGTGCCAAACACATAGATAAACGCTTTGAGTGAGGATGGCTGCATGTCGAGACCTAACGGATTGAGTGACGCTTGCGACTGCCGGACACATAGACGCATTGAGTGACGAAAGCTGTATACGGAAAGCTCACAGGTTGATCGGTATCGGAGATTGCCGGACACATAGACGCGTTGAGTAAGGATAGCTGTATCCTGAAAATCCACAGTAGCTAAAGTGAGGGGACAATTCGATAATGCAATACACATAGAACCGACCCCCAACCAGTACCCGACCCCCCCGTGAAAAATAGAGGCCATGCGCCCCCCCTCCTCTCTACCTCCCCCACAGGATGAGGAGGGTACAGTCCAAAGTAAGCAGAAGCTTACCTAAGGTTAATGCCTATTGGTACGGCATTAAAATAAATACTAAAGTCCCCCATTGGGCGGTGGAGGACTTAGAGCTAAGACACCCCAAAACTCTCCGGCGTGAGATCTAAAATGGATCGGACGACGAAGGGGAGGGGGGTGCTCGTTGCTTGAAGTGGATCAATGAAACATAGAGCCATCAAAGCATTGCTTATTACTCACGTCGAGCAAGCTGAACGACCAGACTAACCACGCAAAGACTGCGGAGCTAGATGTGCGGCACGCACAATGCTTTGTTTTCGATTGGAGAGAGGCGAGTACAAAGCAGTAAGGAATTGTTGGCCAAACTTTCGGCAGATAGGTCTACTCGGGAGCGTAAGTGGGGTAGCAACCCATGGTGGAGCGTACATGAGAAGCTGGACGTTGATGTACACTCCATCCTGGCGTTTGAGTACGATCTTAGGCTATGCAAGTCGTCCCTGAACTTATTGTGGTGAAATGACCTCCCAGCAGGAAAGCAGCCCCCGCGGGACTTCGCAGATGATAAAATGGGTGGTCGGGGAACGTCTGGGTGTTTACTAAGCAGAGCGCCCGGCACANACTCCATCCTGGCGTTTGAGTACGATCTTAGGCTATGCAAGTCGTCCCTGAACTTATTGTGGTGAAA